CTGATGATTGCTCTCCCTCCATGCCATCAGACTAGTGTTCAGGTATGTAGTGTTTAATGTTGCCTTCATCACCATGCTTATATTCCAGAATATGTATGTGTATGCGTGTGCGCTTGGTGGGATTTTTGTTCTTTTCTCTTTTGTTGTTTATTATGTGTCTGTGTTGTTGCAGTTTTCTGTTTTGTTTTGGTTTTGGTTTTGGTTTGTTTACAGTACACGTTCATGCTCCCTCATTCATCATTGTCTCACAGTGATATGGTAAAGCTCGTACAAGTCCCCAACGATGGAGGGCCTCTGGGAATCCATGTAGTGCCTTTCAGTGCTCGAGGCGGCAGGTAACGTATCTTGGAGGTTTTTAATTGAATCATAATGTAGAGTGTTTTATCTTCATTTATCATCAGATAGAGAGTGGTGTTTACTTAGCATATGCTTAATAGGAAACATTCTCATTTGGAGGCAACTGCTACTTCATTCCAATGTATATGTCATAATCACAGAAAGCACTTAGCCTGATGAAGAGAAGTTTTGCAGGAACATGAAGAAACTGTGCATTTGAATTATCCTAATAAATTTAGTTTTCATCAAACTCAAGCAAACATTTTACTTATGTGTAAATTGATGATGGACTTTGAAGTCAGAACTCTAGATGGATTTGCAACTTGGAGAGTTTAAAAGCAGTTTTTTTGGGGGAAAGCATAATGCAATAAGAATTAATCTGGATGACTTAAATTTGATTTAAGCTTTAAATTTGTGTTTATGTAGGTCTTCAATTTTGTAAGCTTTTTTGATTGTTAAAAACCTTTAATATGAAATTTTAAAAAAATAGGTAAGCCATAGGTTTCTGAACAGAGTGTAAAAATGTTGTACTGTTTGTTAATCCCAACTTCATTACTTTACAGAACATGCATCCTTAAAAACCTCAAATGTTGTATCAGTTTCCTTGATTCTGCTCTTTTTTGTGTGTGTGAAAGGACTGTTGTAATATTTTTGGTTTTAATGTGTTCAGATAGTATGAACTGATTTTCCAAGGAAGGCTTGGCAGACCTCTGTCATAGACAAGTGAGGTGTACCATGTCCTTCCCCTTGAGTCTGAACCTGTGCATGTTGAATTGTTGAATTTAATTGCATCTTCTTTTACTTGCTCTCTAATGATTACCTGGGAAAATATATTTATGAGCTATTTCAGCTTTTTAATTTATAACTTCTCATTTTGTTCCTTTTATTTTAACTGCCTTTATATGGTGAGAGAAAGTGGGGAAGGTGAAAGATAGCCTTATACCAGCGACGGAGACCTTAGAACACAGTTTAAACCGTTGTTAAGAAATTAGTCATCTAGGCTGTTGTAAAAGACAGATGTGTGTGATTAAATTATGCATTTTATTTTTTAGAAGGAGTATTTGAGCAATGGTAAAACTTCTTGTTAAATGTAAATAACTGTGTCGAGTTCAGATTTTATCTCTCTATTAAAGCTCATGATTCATCCTATGTCCTAAGCTGAAACTTGACTTAGAACTCTGCTGGAATATGAATAAGGCTTGGATGGTAGTGTTACAAAACAGGGTATAAAATTCACCTTGAATTTTTGAGTGGTGTTATATTCACAGAGTTGTGGCTGCTTTCACTTTTTTATTTTTCTTTAAAATTCTTTTTTTAACTCTGGAGAAGCATTAAAATTTCTTCAAATAACTTACAGTTAAGAATATTATTTTCAACATGGCCTTGCCTTTATTTTGTGTAGGAAATTGAGTTCTAAACTACCTCAAAAGTTAAATTATTTTTTTCATTTCTTTCCTGAGTAGGAGAAAAAAGATAAGGTAAAATGCATGGATTATAGCTCTCCGATATGCATATGCCTTAAAATGCCTGTGAAACGTAATTCATCACAAATGAGATTTAATTGTGTCTATACCAGCTTTGAGCCAGCATTTCAATTACAAACATGTTAATATATTTTGTCATTTATTGCATATTTTCTACCTCACTGTGAAAGGATATTAGGGTAAAGTGAACAGATGAAGAGCCTAAAGCGAAAGGAGGGTAAGATGGAAAAATAAACTTACTGTCTAGATTGTGTCAAGGGAAGGCATTTCACAAAATCCACCACAGTTTCTGGTTACCGTGGCATTTAGTTTTGATACACCAAAGAGATTCAAGAAAACAAGTATGTTTTTGCAGAACTAGTTCTGTTATAGCTGAGTCATTTTTAATCCCTATTAGTTTGGCATTTAATGAAGAAAGTCGTACATAGATTTTCAAAGACAGAGATTTGAGAAAAACAGATTATTTATAATCTCTTTTTAGGCATCACCAGTTTTCACATGGAAACTGTACAGTTTGTGATTCTCCACTGCCTGTGTTACATCATTAAGTTTCCTCGTGGACTGAATAGTCACGGTTCCTCAGCGTCGCGTCAACAATGGGAGAGAAAAAGTAGGTGGTCTGCTCAGATTGGCAGATACAAACCTACGGAGCCCAGAGAGACCCACCTTTCTCATTCTCAGAAATGCTCAGAAATGGATTCCTGTTACTTCATGAGAAACCGTTCCAAGCATGTCACGTGTGACAATTCCTGTGTTAGGTGCTAGGAAACAAAGATGAGCAGAATGTGTTCTTCCTCCAGGGATTTGCAGCCTAGATGCATTGATAGCCAAGAAATCAATCACGCAATTAGAATTGTGTGACAAATGTTGATACAGTTATATAATAGGTGCTCTGTGAGCAGATAGGGGAAGAATGGCCTGAATTAGGTACCTGAAAGTGGTTTGTTGCGGAAGATATTTTTAACTGTGATGGATAGCTTTAAAGGTAGTTGTGTCAACTCCATGGTGGCTTGTGCAGGAGTAAGTTAAGCAGTGCAGTATAGCAGAAAGGAAGAAATTAAGTGAAATTCAGAAATTGCACATATATCTAGTGTGAATACAAGAATACGTATTCATGATACGTAAGTAGAAATTTCCAGGATAACTTCCCTTGTATAAAATCCCAGTCATTCTTGGGCCTTCTCAATTTTGGAGCTATAACTAATTGAATAACAATTATTGAATACTTATTTTCATAAAAGTGACAAATGCATGTCAATATTGCTTTCTCATTTAGATTTTCAAAGTCAGAGTCTAAGAAATAATGCAGAACACCAGTTGTTTGTTGTGAAGAGAAGGAACACAACCCATACCACCTCAAATATCAAATGTCATTAAGGAAAATAGTAGTATAACCTTGTGAAGTTAATGTTAGAATTTTACAGCCATTTAGATCTTATTACGGTGTGATATGTGATGAGTTTTTTTTGAGATGGAGTCTCACTGTCACCCAGGCTGGAGATCCTGGCTCACTGCAGCCTCCGCCTTCTGGGTTCAAGTGATTCTCCTGCCTCAGCCTCCCTAGAAGCTGCAGCAACAGGCATGTGCTACCATGCCTGGCTAATGTTTGAATTTTTAGTAGACGTGGGGTTTCACCACGTTGGCCAGCTTGATCTAGAACACTTGATCTCAAGTGGTCCACCCGCCTCAGCCTCCCAAAGTACTGGGATTACAGGCATGAGCCACCATGCACAGTTTAAGTTTTAAAAAATAAGAATCTTGCGTGGGTTACTTTCAAAACTAATTTGTATGCTAGATTGAATGTTGTTTTTCATCAGGGGCATTAATGACAATTAGTTCATCACCCAACCCCTGCCTTAGGCCGGCTGATATTTAGAAATGGAGACAAACAGATACAGAGACAATATTATCTTCCCCATGATGATGTTTTTCTTGAGTTACTGTCTTGTATATTATTCAGAAATAAAGTTAACTGATTCTCATGTTGAATTAGTCATTCACAATTTCATTACTTTGATGATTCCTTTTTTAAAATTCTTTTCTTAGTAGAAAAATATTTACCTGAAATGTTTCATTACCTTGGAATCAATTTTTATTTCACCTATATCATTTCATTTCCTCCTGATTTAAATGAGAAACATTGGCTGGGCGTGGTGGCTCACACCTGTGATCTCAGCACTTTGAAAGGCCCAGGCAGTCAGAGCACTTCAGGTCAAGGGTTCAAGACCAGCCTAACCAACATGGTGAAACCCCGTCTCTACTAAAAATACAAAAATTAGCTGGGCATTGTGGCAGGTGCCTATAATCCCAGCTATGTGAGAGGCTGAGGCACAAGAAATGCTTGAACCTAGGAGATAGAGGTTGTAGTGAGCCAAGATGGTGCCATTGCACTCCAGCATAGGTGACAGCGCGAGACTCTGTCAAAAATAAATAGGAAACATAATCTCTTTATTTAAACCACAAATGCCACGATTTTCAGGAAGGTTATGCCAAATAGTTGTGACTATCTTTGGCTGAAGAACCTTGCTTTTATATTATTATTTTATTATTTTTTAAAATATTTCTAGAACATAGCTGTTGATATTGGCCTACAGGACCATAGGTAATGCTTAGTAAAGCGTAATCAGCACAGGAGGCAATGAACCCATGACTATCCATATTAGGTGTTGTGTTACTATATTAACAGTGAAGCGGCAATGATATATCCTGGCCTAGATCGTGGTTAATAAGTATTTCTGACACTTTCTCGTGAAACACAAATATGATTATGATATAATGTCAAGTATATAAAAAGCATCATTAAAAATTGTATGCCAAAATAGGGACTAGACCTGTGAAATGAAAAGATTCTGTGTTTGAGGCTGGACATGATGGCTCATGCATGTAAACCCAGTACTTTTGGAGGCTGAAGTGGGAGGATCACTTGAAGCTGGGAGGTGAAGGTTGCAGCGAGCTGAGATCACGCCATTGCACTCCAGCCCGGACAACAAGAACGAACCTCCATCTCAGTAAATAAAATACAATAAAATAAAAATAAAAATTACTACTATTCTGTTTTTGTGTTTTTTTTTTTTTTTTTTTTTTAGACGGAGTTTCACTCTTGTTACCCAGGCTGGAGTGCAATGGCGCGATCTCGGCTTACCGCAACCTCCGCCTCCTGGGTTCGGGCAATTCTCCTACCTCAGCCTCCTGAGTAGCTGGGATTATAGGCATGCGCCACCTTGCCCAGCTAATTTTTTGTATTTTTAGTAGAGACGGGGTTTTCACCATGTTGACCAGGATGGTCTCGATCTCTTGACCTCGTGATCCACCCGCCTCGGCCTCCCAAAGTGCTGGGATTATAGGCATGAGCCACTGCGCCTGTCCTAAATGACTACTATTCTTACTTGGACTTCATAGTCTAGCTTAAAGTAAATATTCTAAATTTTTTGCCCTATGGAAAACAGTTATGGCTAAAACATTTCAAATTAATTAATTAAGTAAAAACAGGGTCTCACTTTGTTGCCCAGGCTGGTCTAAAACTCCTGGCCTCAAGTGATCCTGCTACCCTGGCCTCCCACAGTGCTGGGATTACAGGTGTGAGTGACTGCACCTGGCCTAAAGTACAGTTTTCTTCTCTGGATCTTTTTTTCTCTTTTGAGGCAGGGTCTCGCTCTGTTGCCCAGTCTGGAGTATAGTGGTTCACTGCAGCCTCAACCTCAGGCTTATGTGATTTTTCCATCTCCGCCTCTCACGCAGCTGGGACCACAGGCAAGTACCTCCATGCCTGGCTAATTTTTTGTATTTTTTTTGTAGAAATGGGGTTTCCCCATGTTGCCCAGTCTGGTCTCAAACTGTTGGGCTCAAGTGATCCGCCAGCCTTATTCTTCCAAAGTGCATGGATTACGGACTCAAGCCACCTTGCCCAGCCTGAATCTTTTGTATAATGGACATTTCTCACTTATTTACATCTACCTTTATTCTTTTGTCTGTGTCACTTAAATTTGTTTCACATTATTTTTTCTTGTGAAAATAGTAATTGTATGTGGGTGTTTAAAGGTTTTTTTTTTATTATTATTAAGATCTAGTATCTACTAGTTACCATTTTCAGTGCCTTTGATATCTCAGATCAAAGATTGGCAAAATTTTTGTAAAGGGTCAGATAATCAGTATCTTAGGCATCATGGCCCAGAAAAATCTGCTGTTGTAGCATGAAAGCCACCATTGACAAGACAGAGCTTGATGAAGCTTCATTTATAAAAACAGGTTGCTGGCTGAACTGGCTCATAGGCTGTAGTTGTCAGCCCTTGCCCTAGAGAACCAAACAAATAAAAATGGCTGCCATTGTGAGTTTTACATTCTAGTATTTTTCATGTCTAAAACTCTTTCACCTCTGTTTTCTGTTCATATTTTTGGGGGACAAGAGCGTACAGGATTTTCATTTCCATTTACTGTTTGATAAGAAAGCCTCTTTTATTGTAACCATGTATTAATTTCCACCAGTGCATACCTCTGATTCTTAGGAAGAAGAAAAGTTGAAAAAAACCATACAAACCATACTCTCATTAGTAATATGTACTTACAGAACAATCCTCCTTAACGTCTACTTGCCAATCATAAGACTGAAGGAAAAATCTAAAGTTTCACGGTTAGAAAATCAGGCCCTGTGAAGATGGTGGTGGCAGGATGAGGGTGCTCTGGGTGTGGGGCTGGCTTTCTGCTACACTGACTCATTTTGGCAGATGGCTTATTTATTAATTTATTCTCAACTTTTTACAGATTTGCCATCATTTGATTTGTCTAATTAACTTTGATTTTTATCCCAAATAATTTTTTTTCTTCCATTTATCTTCAGTGTAATCTTCAGAATATCAGGTGAAGGGTCAGCATCCTTTGGCAAAAGCTGCTTCAGTTTCTGTGTTAAAATTTGTTTTTATGACTTTTCCCCCCTTTATTTATTTGCTTAGTTACATTATTGTCCATAAATTTTATCATCTAATCTGAACAAGGAAGTCACATCTCTAAAAGAATATTTTTTATTTTAAAAACTTACTCTGTTTTTTACTTTCTTTCTTTATATTTTTTGAGACAGTGTCTCACTCTGTCACCCAGGCTGGAGTACAGTGGTAGGATCTCCAGGCTCAAGCAATCCTCCCACCTCAGCCTCTCTGGTAGCTGGGACCACACAGGCACACACCACCATGCCCAGCTAACGTTTTGTATTTTTGGTAAAGTCAGGGTCTCTCCGTGTTGCCCAGACTGATCTTGAACTCCTGAGCTCAAGTGATCCCCCCACCTCGGCCTTCCAAAGTGCTGGGATTACAGGGGTGAGCCATCACGCCTGGCCAGTAAGAGAATATTTTTAAGGTTTTGCGTTTTTGAGTTGAAATAAAAGTGACCCATTTGGAAAATATGTATTTCGTATGTATTATTATTTATATTCTATTTAAACCTGAATATAGATTAATTGAATATGATTAAAATCTGTATTCAGATTATATATTCTAATCTATATTCAGAAAATCACTGCAATATAAAAATTACTTTTTTATATCCTGCATTCATGTCTTGAATAATTTCCCCTTCAAATATAAACTGATGTTTCTCTGTCTACAAGACTAGTAGGCAAACATCTTTGGATGGTTTTGAGACATATCATACTCGTCCATTTAATTAAGCAGAATCTGAGCTTTGCTGTCTCTTCAACTAAGATTTACACAGTTATATTGTTTGCTATACCCATTTGTTCATCTAAGATATACTTTATCATTTTTTTGCTTTTTTCTGTATCGAAAACATGATCTATTTTACCCCCAGATTTGGAGTTGGGAATTTTGTATTCCCTCTGTGTGTCAGTCAGTGACTGACTGGACTTTGTGTTGTCATCTTTTTATTGTCAGGACTAGCTAAGGATACCTGGCTCCGTCTTTTCTCTGTAGTGTGGCCTTTGGCAAGGTAACCTCACTTGGCCCTACTCCTTACATGTGAAGGATGGGAATCATGGCTTTTGTATGGTTTAAGTAAGAAAATATATGTAAATCATTTAGCAAGGTCCTTGACAGTGGCAGCTAATAAGAATGGTCAAATCCTGAGAAGAGTTTTTAAACTCCGTTTATCTTTATCATATGTCTTGAAATTCCCTCCAGTGGTTTGATGTTCTGCTTGTCTAGGGTAGGTAGTCTACACAATCAGAGAAAGTGATCGTTTTCCTCTTATATCATGAATCTGAGAGAAAATTTACTATTATAAAATTGAGAATCCCATACACATTTGTTTAGCTAATTGAGTACAAATGCTAATGAAGAGTTACAGTCAACTTGAACTTCATGGCAATAGGTGAGAATAAATATGCTTTTGAACTTTGAGTACTCAATTTTAATATAATTACCTTTGAAAAAATGCAATTTGACTTTATTTGCCGAATCAATAGTCTTTTGTCTGAAAGTTTTCAATTGTGCTTTCTTATCTGCAGACTCTTACAATAAAGAACTATAACATATGCATTGGTTTTAGAGAGAAAATTTGCAGTTTACACTTACGTGAAATGAATCATGGTTCTTTAAATATAGCAGCATGACATCTGTGATTTCTGCTCTAATCTAAAGGAACTCTCCATTTTTATTTACTTTTTTGGCCTGCTTTATCTCATTCATTGAGGTTTTTCTAAAAAAAAAAAAATTAAGATTTAAGGTTTTAACTTGGTGTTCCTTTAAACTCTCTCCTTTTGGCATTCATGCTTTCAGTGGTCATAGTTTCTGGGCTTATGTAGGTAGTTGCTACCCCGCCATGGGCTGTACTCAGGGAGGTGAGAGGTTCTTGTTGATAAAACCCTATTCTGCCCACTCATATTCTGCTTTCCCTACCATTGTGATGTTTATACTGTGTCAGCTTTTATTAAGATGAATTATAATCATTTCCATACAGCTGGGTAGCAGTTGTGGTAGTTTACATTAGCAACGCAAAACTCAGACTTACTCAGCCAATTTGGATGTCAATAAAACATTTGTTACTTATTTTCAGTTTTATCATTGGTTGTAATTTATAGTTAGAATTGAAAATGTTAACATGTGTGACTGCGTTTGTTTTAATTAAGTGTATAATTAGGCTAATGAACCTTGTAAAAATGTAGTGGTGCAATCCTTAATATAATCTAAGTAGTTAAATTTCTAATTATGCATCCAAAATCATGTACAAAGATGCAGCATTTCAATGGCTTGCTTTGTGCTACTGTAGCCTTCCTTGTCTTTTTTTTTTTTAAGAAACATTGTTAAAAAATGATGAAGTCTTGAAAGAAATATGTGTGTATTATACTTTTGTATTAGAAAAATTATTCAGAAGTGAGATTTTTATGCGATAGATGTAGCGTTTTCTTCTTTTTCATATTTTGAAGAAAATACAGGAAACTAGGAAAGGAATAAATTTGGGGATGTTTCATCTCTATCAGGAAAAATCCACTTGCTTGAAAAGCATAAAGCCAAGTAGGGTTTAGCTTAGATTCATAAGGAAGGTAGAGGAGGTTCTGTGTAGTCATTTTTTTTGGCGGGGGGTGGGTTGCGGACATAGTCTCACTCTGTCACGCAGGCTGGAAGGCAGTGGCTCAGTGTTGGCTTACTGCAACCTCCTTATGCTGGGTTCAAGTGATTCTCCTGCCTTAGCCTCCTAAGTAGCTGGGACTATAGACGCATGCCATCACACTCAGCTAATTTTTTAGAATAGATGGGGTTTCACCATATTAGCCAGGATGGTCCTGATATCCTGGCCTTGTGATCCACCTGCCTCTCAAAATGCTGGGATTACAGGCGTGAGCCACCATGCCCAGCCAGTCATTTCTTCTTAAGTGTGTACCACTCCACTAGTAAGTGCCCAAGTCTTCTATGTTTTTTCTCTTAGCATAGCCAGCCTGGGGTTGTTCTGCTCCTGGAACCATTCCCCAAACAGAGCTTACTCCAATTCCTCCTTTCCTGACACCTACCTTTTTTATTTTTTGCAAAGTGGTTTCTTAGGATGGAACATGGGTGCCCCAATAAGGAATTCTGGTATTAGCTGCCAAGAAGGAAAACTCTTCTTTCTACTGCCATACTGACATGCCAAAAATGTTTAAACTTCATTTGCTTTGTTCACCTTCTCTAATAGAACTGTTGCAGCAGCCACACCCTAGGCAGTCAGTTCTTTATGACTTTGGAGCAAACTCTAATTTCTAGTTGAGTTTGCAAAATATATTCCTAAAATTTGTTTTTAATTATATTATTTGATATA